TTCCTGCTCCTCTGATGCTGCTTGGCCTGCTGTGGTCATCCAGCTCTACACCTTGTTATCTCATGAGTAGAAAAATAGGTCATTTTTTTAAAAAAAAAACAATTAAATGGAACAGGCCGCTCCACAAGTGTCAAGTAGATGATCCATCTTGGCAGCCACCAAGTCAGATTCCGGTCTTCAGCTAATTCAATAAAATCCACATGATATCAAAGAACATTAAGCGCACTAAATGTAACATAGGCGATGGGTACTGATGACACCTTGACCAAAGTCATCCTTCCAGAACTAGCCACACCCTTAGCCAAAATGTGCTCATGCAGCTTCTGCATTAACGCAATATAGAAAACTACACAGCTTTGAGCAATCTACAGAAAAACAGAACAAATCCAATTTGGCCAATCTCCACCTCATGGATCAAAAGTGCTGGGAGGTGTTGCCAGCGTTGTCAAGTGACACTTATTCAGCAATAACCTGCTCCCAGTGCTCAGTCTGCATCACAGCTCCAGACTGCCAAACAACATTGGTACAAACATGGACCAAAGAGCTAAATCATAAAAAATCAAATGAGATACTATTTTGGAGAGCAAGACAGCATTTAAAGTTAAGCACAAGAAGCCCTAACAACATTGCAGTCAACAGTAACAAAAACTCTCCACTAGTTCGAGTCATATCAAGAATAAAGCATTGTTGTTTCAGGAGGCCAATCACTTCAGACCTTGGACATCACTCCAGGAATTCCTCAGGTGCCACAAAATAGTGTCAGAGAGCCAGAACGTCAGCTGTTTCCATGACCATAATAATTGGGGTTTTCTGACTATTGTACGCCAGCAAAATTCGATTCCTCAAATACTGAAGTCATCCATTTTTACATAACAGCAAGACCCTGGACAACATTAGGTTTGGGCTGATGAAGGGGCAAAGTAACACTCATAACCACAGCAATGCCAAGAAAATTCTACAAACTGTCTACAATATTCAATTGATGGACAGTCTCCACATTCCTGAAAGAGTAGCTCCAATACTCAAGAAGCTCAATACGATCTAGGCAAAAGCAACCTGATTGGCAGAGACAGTAGGAACTGCAGATGCTGGAGAATCTGAGACAACAAGGTGCAGGGCTGGATGAACACAGCAGGCCAAGCAGCATCATAGGAGCAGAAAGGCTGACGTTTCGGGCCTAGACCCTTCATCTGATTGGCACTCCGTTCACCACAGTAAACATTCACTCTCTTCACCAGCAAAAGTACAGTGCTAGGATATACCATCTACAAGATATGCTGCAGCATCTCAGCAAGGCTTGTCTGACAGCACCTTTCAAATGCACAATCTTCAGCACCTTGAAAATAAGGTAATCAGGTGCATGGAAATATCACAATAGACGCACCACCATGACATGAAACTATGTTATTGCTCCTTCGGTCTCTGGATCAAAATTCTACAAATCTGTCCCTAACAACATGAAATGCCACCGTTCAAGTAGGTGGCTCACCGTCACTTTCTCAAAGACAATTAGCAACAAAGGCTCATATCAATGAGCAAATTTTTTTAAAAAGCTGAATCTGTATTCGGTACCAAAGAGCAGTCTAAACTGATGGGTTATAGCAGCAAACTACAGAATGTTGCTGTATTTGTCCATAAAATATGAAAATTCGAATTAAAAAGAACATAATTTAGCAAAGATGTGAAACCACATACTGAGCATCCAGCAAGAAAATTATTGCTATTTGGGTTAACTACTGCTGGGACTCTGCTAATTCAAATATGACAAAGAACTTAAAAATAAACATACTTCATTTATAACGGCATTCAGGATGGAAATAGAGAAAAAAAAAATCAGGAAGGGAATCTAGTTATAGGGAAAAAGGCAGGAAAGTGAAGTTGAAGAATATCAGATCAGCCATGATCTCATTAAACAGTGGAGCAGTCTCAATGGGTCAAATGGCCTATTTCTGCTCCAACATCTTACAGAAACTATCAACTGACTAGGTGTTAAAAAAAAAATGTGCAACAAGGAGCACTAACTCATACTTAATAATTTCATCTTGAATGACAAACATTGCACATGAACACTTCCTATTTGTATTTCTCAAGCCTCATTGAGGCTGTCATACTATGAACAAGTATTATTTTCCTCATTAACAGGAAGTCTGGTTATTGCTTGCTTTTGTTTTGACACGATTATAAACAAGTGTTAACAATTGTTGTTTCATTGTTCACTTGTATTCTTTTATGAAAGCATTTTCAGCAAAGTGTTCATTTAAGAGATAAATTAATGCCTACCATCAAATCTTGATCATGCATTACATCCTTGTATCCTGATGGATCCAACACCAGACCACAAGGATCTGTGAATAGTCCATGTATATGAAGGACACTGTATTTCTGTAGTCCTCTGGCCCACTGAACCACCTAAAAAAGCACAAATTCTGCAAATTAAAATCAGTGAGAAAGATAATGCAGGATCACTGACTACTTTCCCTTCATTGCTCACAACTTCTAAACTTATGTCAGTTATTCAGAATATTGCTCAGAACTCCGGCTTCACCGTAGATCAGGGTACTATGAATTTCATTAGTACTGTGCAAGTGCCACATGTCAACTCTGCCATATACCAGAATCAACATCAGATAGAATCGCTCTAAACATCCAGCAAGTGTGCAACTAAAGACAGCAATTTCTAGAATTCCACACCACTTATCTTGGCACAGTCGTGACTTAATTTTGCATTAATTCATTGTGTATTATGCATTTGAACCGTCATGAAAACCAATGAGTAGCTACTGGGCAACATGGACAATAACACAACAAATGTAGCTCATAACCCCAACATAAAACCAATATATGTACACAGCATGCATACAATGAAAGCTAAGTTACTTATATAATTAGACCACTAATGGTGTTGAAACAACATTTTTCACACTCTGGATTGCGAGGGAGAGCACCTGCAGTATTCAGAATAAATGTCAAAATACATGCTGTTCTGTAACACGCTGCATAACTTTGTCGTCATGAGGCTAACAAATACACAGCAATCAGTTAAGGATTTGGACGAAGAAATGAGAAAGTTGGGAGGAAATCAACACAAACCCCTTCTGGTCAGCCGGTTTGTGAAGAGATCACCAGAATGAGATAACAGACATCATAATCCTAATTCCCAATTCTCCAAACATCCCTGACCTTACCTTCTTCTGTCATTGACCATTGGTTAACTGCAAATATAGATTTTTTTCATCTAAATTTATGAATGCAACCATGCTGTACTGCACAGAAACATAAACCAATCACGTTAAAGCATTCCTTACATACTCAACTTCAGTACCCTTGTCTATCCTAGAGCAGCCTCATGGCTGCTGGCAGCTGCAGATGGTCTTGGGAGGCTAACAGTGAACTGGTTGGCAACAGGCACCAAAAAGAGAAATGGCAGAATAAGTGGACCAAAACTCACTTCCTGAGAAAAAGACAGCAGGTTTCTGCTCCATGAAGCCTCCACCATACTCTCTGGGGAGCACCGCAGCAATCAGTAATTTACTGCAGAACTTGGTCTTGATCAATTGGGCCAAAGGGCTGAGGAATGACAGATGGAGTTTAATTTGGATAAACTAGTGGTTTTGCATTTTGATAAAGCGAAAAAGGGCTGGACTTGTACAGTAAAAGGTAGGGCCCTGGTTGGGTTGTCAAATAGAGAGACCTAGGGTCCAGGTACATACTTCTTTGAAAGTTGTGTCACAGGCAGACAGAGTGGTAAAGGTGTTCAGCACGATTGCCTTCATTGCTCAGAGTTGGGACATCATGTTGAGATTGTACAGGATGTTGGTGAGGCCACTTTTGGAGTACTGTGAAAAGTTCTGATCATTTTTCTACAGGAAGGATATCATTAAATTGGAGAGGATTCAGAAAAGATGTTCCAGGATGTTGCTGGGACTAGATAGTTTGAGTTATAAGGAGAAGCTTGATAGGCTGGGACATCTTTCACTGAAGTATAGGTGGTTTAGGGGTGACCTTCTAGAGATTTAGAAAATCATGAGGGGCATAGATAGCCCTGGGTGTCCTTAAGCATGAATCACAGAAATATTGTCCTTCATTGCTAGAAGGATGGAGTTTAAAAACAGGGAGGTTATGCTGCAGCTGTATAGTGTGCTGGTGAGGCCACACCAGGAGTAATGCATACAGTTTTGATCTCCTTACTTGTGAAAGGAAGTACAGGCACTTGAGGACGTGCAGAGGAGTTTCACTAGGTTGATTCCAGAGTCAAGAGGGTTGGCTCCAAGAGAAATTCAACAGACTGAGACTATACTCATTGGAATTTAGAAGAATTGGGAGGGGGGTGTGGTCCTATAGAGACATATAAAATTACGAACAGAATAGATTAGATAGAAGCAGGGAGGTTGTTTCCACTGGCAGGTGAAACTAGAAGTAGGGGGCATAACTTCATATTAAGGGGAAGCAGATTTAGGACTGAATTGAGGAGGAATTTCTTTACCTAAAAGGGTTGTGAATCTGTGGAATTCCCCACCCAGTGAAGCAGGTGGGGCTACCTAGATGAATGCTTTTAAGGCAAAGTTAGATAGATTTTTGAACAGTAAAGCAGTTAAGGGTTATAGTGAGCAGGCAGTTAAATGGAGCTGAGTTTATGAAAAGATCAGCCATGATCTTATTAAATGGCTGAGCAGGATCAATGGGCTAGGTGGCCTACTCCTGCTCCTATTTCTTATGCTCATGTTCTTATAAAGTGAATAGCAAAGATCTTTTCCTTAGGGTGGAGGGAGTCCAAAACAAGGGAGCATATTTTTAAGGTGAGAGGAGAAAGATTTAAAAAGGGACCACCCGAGGGGCAACTTTTTCACACAGAGGGTGGTTTATATGTGGAATGAACTGCCAGAGGAAGTGGTAGATTCAGGTACAGTTAGAACATTTAAAAGACATTTGGATAGGTACATGAATAGGAAAAGTTAGAGATATATGAGCCAAACGCAGACAAGTGGGACTAGTTTATTTTGGGAAACTTGGCAGTCATGGGAGAGTTAGACCAAAGAGTCTATTTCTGTGTTAATGAATCTATGCCTCTATAACTGCACTGACATCTCTCGAACCTTTTTACAAATTGTAACCACGGATTCATTGGCCATAGCTGACCTTGCACGAAATACTGCTGCAGCAGTGGGTTGCTGTTGCTTGTGCTGCAATGGAAATTACAGCATCAACTATCAGACAATGTTTTATTGTTGGTCCACAAATGTGTAAATTGAGTTGACCACCATCATCATTATCATCAATCATGTTGAGAATGATTCTTGCTGTGGTCAGTGGACATATCAGCATTTGCCATGGGCTTACAAATGGTTTATCACCTCTATCTTAGTCCTATAGGCTCTCCCACAGTGAGGACATTATTCATTAGTCTATAGTGATTATAGTGGATTGTTGGCTCAAACAATTGTCCCGTCTTGCTTCTTCCTACACCATTCTTTTGGTGTCTATTCTTATTGATTAGGTTTGGCCAGAATGCTCATCTGAACCCATCACAGTGGATCCAGAGTGTCTGTTCACCAGGCAGGCACTCTCATCCTTCAGTAAACCAGCAGCAGTATTTTCCTTGCCCTCTGCCCTTCCTGCAGTTCACTCACACCTAATGTCTCACTACATGCCTACCCTGTGCTCTTCCGTTCATTGTGCACCATGCCACTAGTTCATGGTCTCCAACTGCTCTCACCTTAAACCCCAATTCACTGCCCTTGTAACTTAAAACTAGAACACATTCAAGGCCATACTATCCATGTATTGACTTCTAATAAATGCACAAGCCATCAACCTATACCTTGTCAGCCTCCTTTGACTCCCTTTGTTTCCACACATGGATTTGTAAACATGGACTTTATAACCACACTATAGCTTTGTTTCAGTCTCCTCAGCCCCAACATTTAGCTCATATTTGTTAGTCTTACAGTGCTAGTCTATTATGAATCTTTTTTCCACATTACAGTCAGAGTATAGATTTCAGCCATATGGCCATATATGATAAAATTCCCTTTTAAAAGTTTTCATATGCTTACATCTTTATTATGAAAAATCACTTCAGAATTTTGCAACATAGTTTTAGTTACTTCCTGTTGTTCCCACTGCAAGATCCATCTAAGGAGATGATTCTATGGCTTGTAAAGAGCATTACATTATTTTGCATTTTACAAACCTTGTCCTTGCACTTCAAGTCTACGGATTCCATTGGTTTGCCTTGCTGTTGACCAAAAATTTCAAGCAGGTTATCATAATTTGTGGTGAGAACCATTGTTCCCCTATCCATTAATTGGAGAATAGCATCCAAGAGCATGGGATTCTGAATGTGACAGTTAAGATTATCAAACACTTCCATTAGACAATCCTGGAAAAAATTTGGCTTTGTATCTCCAGTACGCTAAAAAGAAAATAGAAAAAATATCAGCACCACAGGAAGCAGAGTTAAAATGCACTATGTCAATAGTCAGAATTGACAAGTAGTTGCTTATTTTGTACACTGCAGGCAAAAGTTAGTCTTCAAGTATCTACTTTTACAATTCATAGAAACTTGGCCATCTAACTTTAACCATATGGAATAAATTGCTGTGCAACTAACGGCCCACAAAAAAAGCTAGCTAATATTAATTTTGATTGCTAAACATATTACTTTTATGTCAGATTTAAAATTATATTCATTATAAACAAGCCCATGTAGTCTATACGTGAAGAACAAAACCAAATCCAGCAATTCCAAATCCTTCAGCAATCTGAACACCCTACTCTTATTTTCTATCGGTCAACAACTTCCCATTCAAAGTGCCACATTTCATCTTCACTGTGCTTGGACATTTACTAAAAAAACTGCATTTTGGTACATCAGATAGGGGCAGGTCTTACATAATTAACGATAGGGCCTTGGGTAGTCTTGTAGAACAGAGGCACCTAGGGTTTCAGGTACATAATTCTTTGAAGTTTGCATCACAAAAAGACAGGGTGGTTAAAAAGGTGTTTAACACGCTTGCCTTCATTGCTCAGTCCTTTGAGTATGAGAGGTGGGAAGTCATGTTGAGGTTACGCATGACATTGGTGAGGCCTCTTCTAGAGTCCTGTGTCCAGTCTTGGTCGCCCTGTTATATGAAGGATGTTATTAAGCTGGAGAGGATGCAGAAGAGATTTACCAGGATGTTGCGAAGTATGGAAGGTTTAACTTGTATATTAAAAAAAAGGCTGGATAGGCTGGAACTTTTTCCCACTGGAGCATTGGAGGCTGAGAGGTGACTTTAAAAGAAATTCACAAAATCATGAGGGGTATAGACAGGGTGGATGGTAGGTGTCTTTTCCCTAGGATGGGGGATTTCAAGACTAGCGGGCATATTTTTTAAGGTGAGAGAAAGAGATTTAAAAAAGACATGAAGGGCATTTTTTTTTTTTTAAATAGAGGGTGGCTCACATGTGGAATGAACTTCTTGAGGAAGTGATGGATGCAGGCACAGTTACAACACTTAAAGACATTTTGGTGAAGTGCATGAATAGGAAGGGTTTGGAGAGATAAGAGCCAGGAGCAGGCAGGTGGGTCTAGTTTAGTTTGGGATTATGTTCAACACACCTGGTTGGACCAAAGGGTCTGTTTCCATGCTGCATGACTCTATAATTCAGTTCTGCATGCTATATCTCCAAATCAGCCAAACATCAACTGCCTCTAAATTTGTACTCAGTCCTTGTTTTGCTGGTCATTGCATTAATTATTAGCAACATCCTTCATAGTGATTTTTAACTGCTTCTCCTTATATTTGCTCTTGCAGCTTGTATAAGTTAAAATACTTCGTCTTCATCTCTGATACGTCACGCAATGCCATTTGAAACAGGAGTTGTAACACTTAATTTTGCCTTCAGAGCTCAACTTATCTTCAACTTTAAAAAGAATGCAATGTCCCACAGTGCTTCACAGGCGTATTATAAAATAAAGTATGACATTTAGCCACATTGGAAAATGAGGTCATATGACTAAAAAAAGTATATTTTGAGAAGCGTCTTAAAAGAAGGAAGACAAAATCAAGATGGGGTGGGTATTCCAGAGTCTGGGACCTAGGCAATTGAAGCACAAGCACCAAAGGTGGAATAATTAAAATTTAAGGTACGCAAGAGGACAGAATTAGAGGAGTTGTGGAACTGGAGGGGATTACAGAGATAGGCAGGAGAAATGCAGTATAGGAATCTGAAAACAAAGACAAGACGTTAAAATCAAAACCAGGAGCCAACATGGGTGATGAGGGAATAGAACTTAGTTAAGATATAGGCAGCTGAGTTTTGGATTACCTCAAGTTTACAGAGAGTAGAATAAGGGAGACCAGCAACAACAGTGCAATAGTTTAATCTAAAAGAAACAAAGGCTTCAGTGAAGTTTCAATAGCAGTATGGGTGGGGCTGGGATAAAGTTGGGCAATGTTACGGGGGTATAAATAAGTGGTCTTAGCGATGGCACGAATAGAAGTTTGGAAGCTCACTTCGGAATCAATGTGACAGCAGGAACATGAAGAGGCAGCTCAATCTCAGACTGTTAACAGGATGAGAGGTGCAGTTGCTGGCTTGAGAAGACATTAGGACAAGCACCAAAAGCAATGGCTTCAGTCTTCCCAATACTTAATTGGAGGAGACGTCAGCTCTGGGTCTTGGATAAATAGTGTTATAATTTAGCAACAGTGGAGTAGTCAAGAGAAATGATGGTGAGGTAGAGCTAGGTTTTGTCAAGGTACATGCAAAAACTAAGTCTACCACTGTGTCACTGAGGTTCAGCATATGAATTATAATTAGGGACGGGACCAAGGATAGCTTTTTAAGAGGACATTACAGGTAATGGTGTGGAAGCAGGGAGATAAGTTGCTGCAATTGATTCTTTCACTACAACTGAACAAATAAGAATGGAACCAGGCAAGAGCAGTCTCACTCAGCTGAGCAATTGTGAAGAGACACTGAAGAGTCTGGTGTGGGCAAGCAAAAGGTTGCAGACAGGTCAAAGAGAACAGGGATGGCATGTCTACTATCGTCACAGTTACACTAGATACCATTTGTGACTTTGCTAAGGGCCATTTTGGCACTGTGGAAGGAGTAGAAATTGAAGGGAGGGTAGGATTCAAATAGAGTTTCAGAAAAGACAGAAACAGAAACAGGAAAAGTACTTACCTTTCATAATTTTCCATTAATGAAAGCTTCTCATTGACGGTTCTCAAATATTTAACACAGCACATGCCATGTTTCTAAATTTTTAGGAGTAGGAGAGCAGTGTGATGTATGTGGCCCAAACAGGTTAATACTTGATTAAGTGCAATTGATTTAGATCAGGTTTAGACTTATATTGTCACGTATACTCAAGTACAAAAGTACAGTGAAAAGTTTTCAATGTCTTCACACGTGGTGTCATCTTAGGTACAAGTGCCTATGTACATAAACTTAAGAACAAGGTAGCAAGAAATAAGGAACAAAGTTAAACATTACAGTCACTCTTAGTGTAGCATCAAAAAAAAAATAAAGTTAAAAGTTAAATATTACAGTCCTTCTTAGTATTAAGTTGAAAAATGAAGAAATAAAGCTAAAAGTTCAACCATTGCAGTCTTTCTTAAGTGCTTAGCCATGGGATCGCACTTCCTACAAGGGCTCAATCTCTTCTGCGTTGGCATGCTTTCCTTGCACTGGCTCAATCTCGCCTGCTCTTGTCATCACTACAACTGTCAGCGGAACTTCCATCGCCGTGTCCTGGGTCAGGTCCCCAGCTGCTGCCTTACACTGGACATCTAGCCCACAGCCAAATTCAACAGCATCACCCAGACTGATAATGTCATGAGAATTCAATGGAATATTAAAGTAAGATTTCATGGGAGACTGATGCTTCCCATATTCCCCCACCCTTGCAAAGAGAACATGCCAGAACTGTGAGGTTGAGGAGAGAAAGAGAATGCTACAGTGTCAAAAGATTAATTTTTGAGAACGACTGTAAGATATCAGATTTGAGGAGAAAAGGACATTAACTGAGGAGTGTAACAACATTAATGTTGAAGCAAGAAGGGAATTGGGCAGAATTCTGGTGGGAACAGGGTTAAGGGAGAAGACTGTTGGGAATTAAATATAGTTCTTGGAGCTAAAGGAATCAAACGGTATAGGGAGCAAGCAAGAACAGGATACTGAGTTGAATGCTTAGCTACAATCATATTGGCAGACTCAAAAGGGCTAAATGGCCTATGCTTGCTCCTATTTTCTATGTTTCTAAAACAGGTGGTTTCCTGCACTAGCTGAGCCTAAAGATAACCCGAGGGGAGATAACAGAAAAGCCTAGACAAAGTTGCAAGCGAGAAAACAGAATATTTTGGAGATACACAGCACATCAAGTAGAACCTGTGATAATGTAAACTTCACAACTTCATGGATTGAAAGAATCAACAATAACTGTTTGTTGAGATGAGAAGGACAAGAAGTTATTGTTATAAAGGAATTGAAAGCAACATGTGAATTAACCATCCCACGGAAGAAGCAACATAAACAAGTTGTTTCCTGGGACAGAGAAGATAACACTGCTTCATAACCTGCTGCCTCATGACAAATGGACAATTGAGACTGTCTGCAGAAGTAATGTTCTGAAGTAAAAGGTGATAATTGCAGGAAAAGCGGTTTCAAACAGACAGCTAACCCTGAATGCAACAAGAAACAGAGGACCTACTTCTGATAAGAAGACAAGCTACAAACTGGAGGTCTCCAGAAGTGTAACCGATGAAAGTATCTTTTGAATCATCATGATGTCACACCACAAACTTGAAAGAGAAAAAAAACATACAAGAATCCAACGCCAGAACAATTCAGCAGCAGAACTTCAAAGACCAATACTACTTAAGGATCAAATCCTGAATATTCCCAGAGACGGACACTGTTGGTTGGAATCCTGGCCAGATTCAACCATTAGTCAGGTAATAGCCAAATTGAGTTGTGAGCCTTAACTTGCTTACTTGAGGGGTCTTATTTTGTTTGCTATATACAATAAATTTTAAATCATTGTTTCAGTACTTAATTGTCTGAGAGATTTCTTAATAGGTAGCTGAATTAAAAGTAATTTGTTGTGATTTACACTCAACAAACCTCTAGAGACTGAAACAGGGATAACATTTCAAGTTGATGATTTTCTATCAGAATTAGGGAAGGTGATAAAGGTTTCAAGTGGCAGGGGTGGAGTGGAAAGAGGAACAAATAAAGGACAGGTCTAAGGGAGGGTGCAACAATGGAGACATTAAATGATAAAAGAGCTGGCATTCTAGGCCAAAGGAAACATTAACATGGCAAATAAAATTAACAAAAAGATGTCTCTAGAGGCAGTGTGAATGGCAGGTGATGAACAACGCACCCCCAAAAGAGAAAAACAAGAAAAAAAATGACAGCAAAATGAAAGAAAATGGGGACAAAGATTATAGACTGAAATTGTTGAACTCGAATGTCCAGAAAGCTGTCAAATGCCTGTTTCAACATTGAAGTGCTGTTTCTCAAGCTCACATTGAGACTCATGGAGCAGTGCAAGAGGCCAAGGATAGAGAGGTCTGCTTCAAGGTGAAGAATTAAAAATTACAGGCAACTGAAAGTTTAGAATCATGGCTGCAGACTGAACAATGGTGGTCTACACAAAAATCAAACAAACTATATTTCATTTCCCCATTGTAGAACAGCAAATACAGTACATCACATTACATTAAAAGAATTACTAACGCATGTAAATGACTACTAAACTTGAGTGTTTGGCACTTTGGACAATGAGGAGAAATAAAAAGCACGTGATACATCTTTTATATTTGAATGGATAGGAAAGGGGGTATTAGGATAGAAGACCAGATCAGGAGGTCATTGTGAATTTGGTCCATTCCAGTGATGAAAGCAGGACAGAAAGAAAAAATGTGTTTGGTCCCGGTGGAGGTGGTAGAAATGGTGAAGGTTGACCTGCTGAAGATGCTGGTACAGTGAAAGGTGAGTACAAGGGGAATCCTAACATATTTCCAAGAGGGAGTTGCAGGGGTGAGCAGAAGTGTAGGAAATGAGACAGAAAAGGTGGAGACCAATCCTTGGTTGAAGAAAAGAAATTCATGTCAGAAACGTTGGTTTGGAAAGTTGAGTCATCAGAACAAATGTGACAAAGACAGTAACTGGGAGAATGGAATGAAGTCCTGAAGCAGAGTGGGAAGAACTGTTGTTGAGACAGTTATGGGAGACAGGAGGTTTTGTAGTAGATATAGGCTGAGAGTGAATGCCCAGAGACTGAGACAGGAGGGATGGTGGCGATTGTTGGTGGATGGAGACTAGTTGGGCTTCAGTTCAAGCAAGAAGACCATTATAGTGGGAGATGGAGAAATTGGACATCCATGGTGAAGGGGAGAAAGGCCAGCAAAATTAGAAACTGATAAAATGATGGAGAACTTTAGAAGATCATGAATGTTTGTGGAAAATGATGATACAAGGGGAAAAACAAAATTGTCAGGATAGAAAGAAATCAGTTCAGTAGGGCACAAAACATTCAAGTGATTAGACTGCCAGGACGGTCCTTTTTGTGGATCTTGGGAAGAAGGTGGAAGCAGGGGAGGAAGAGGTTAGAGGCCCTGGAGGAAGATGTTCAGAGGAGAGCTCTACATACACATTGTTGGAACGAAGGGGGTTGCAGGCAGTTAAGAGGAGTTTAAGAATAGGATCTTTAGGAAAAAATTGGAGTTATTTTTGCATCTTAGGATATGGTAAACAGCACCAAGGATAAAAAAAAAGCTGTATGACAGATATGATAGTTAAGAGATGAAGTTCCGAGTTTAAGACAAGGACACACAATGTGAAGCTGTGGTACATCAGAGTGCATTATCCTGAAGCAAGATAAATTTTTTTTGAAACTGATTGCTCTTTATCAGTGTAAAGTTCACACAAAACGAGGCCAACATAAAATTTAAATGCGGGTATAAATTGTAGTTTAACTGTTCTCAAATAAAAAAGTTTCAAAACATTTTTTCCCCCCCCCCCTTCTGGTTTGAGATGTTTGAAGCCCTTGCAAATTGCACCTCTGGTTTATTCTTTTGCTCAAACACAACATATGTAGATATAAGCTGTGCATTATAAAACCTCTCTGAAATGCCTGTACACTTTACCCCTACAGGTCAAAACAATATTTGGTCTTACTGGTGACATTTTCCGGATCAGATCATGGGCGAGCACAAGGAGGTCACGGTCTTCTGTTAGTTTATGACGGAACTCTGTAATATCAGAAGGATGAAGCACCTCCAGATCTTCTGCTGCATTGATTACCGCTTCAATACAACTTCGCCATGAGCACAATGCAGGTATATGTGGTGCAACAGCAGCACTCACTCCAGTTCCAATCACCAATAGCAATTCACACGGTTCTTTACGGGTCAGACTTTTCAGGAACTTCCTTCAGACAGTTGGGAGAAAAAGAAGACAAAAAAAAAAGTCACATTTCTCATTCTCTGAAGCTCAACATATACAAATAAACAACATCAATCACTGCAAGAAATTAACTGAGTCATTAACCTTTTTAAAAATTTGATCAGATGAAAATAACCTCAATCTGAATTTTTTTTTGTTAGCATAGAAAATAAATGGGAACCTTTACACATCACTTTCTCCAGTTGATCTATCACTAAGCCTTCATTTGCATTCTAAATTTGCTGGAAACGCCAGTCTAGACAATACACTTCTGAATCAATAGCTTTGGTATGAACAATTCAGAATTTTTGGAAAAGCGATTTTTTTTCTTCCTGTTGATGACAGTAAATATTAGTTAATTTGAGGCTGACGGTGATCTTAGGGGCGTTTACTTAAATTATCTTACAATACAGTTGTTATATTAGATCTTATTTCTAGATTTTTAATAATAGGCAATTTTAACAGAGACCTTATTTGTGTGTGTGACCATTTTCTGGAAATTGAGAAAATCAAAACTAGTGATGTAAGTTTAGAAGAACCATGGTGCAAAAACATGCCTGTCACTGAGTCCACGCTTGACACATCTTGAAAACTACTTCAATAGAATGTTTTGAAAGTCAAGCGAAAAGCACTTTTCTAAAGTGCCAATTTTAATTTTATTAATCCTGGTTTACAATACAGAGTGAAACCAACTATGTAGGTTCAATCCCCACATGTACTGAGGTTACCATGAAGATGCTTTTCAACTTGTCCCATCACCTGAGGCATGGTGACCCTCAGGTCAAGCCAAGACCAGATGTGTGTGTCTCTCCGAGATTGCAGCGCCTCAGTTGATAAGGCTACCTTTAATGGCAACAATGACATGGCAACTTAAAACTATGAAAGCATGCAATATGCTTCACAGAAAGCATTGGGAAATGTTACTCAGCTATAAGCAGAGAGATGAAGACATATGTTTCTAACACAAGGAGGAGGATTTGTATTTACAATCAATGAAATGCTGTGTTTTCAAAAACACATCTAAGTTAGAGCAGAGTGAAATGAATCTGGGTGTAAATAGCAGCAGCGAACCTGATAAAGCTCGAGAAGCAGAGCCTGGATTGAGGTCAACTGCAGCAGTGGGAGCAGAGCAGAGTGACCCTGGGTATAAATGGTGGCAGCAGGAGCAAAGTGGCACAGAATTCAAGGGCAGAGTTCCAGAGGTGATGTCACAACTCAAAAAGTGAGGTAATATTTGCTGCTCAGGCACCAAGTCTAGAGAATGAATAAGTAGTTTCTGGAGGGAAATAGAGTGTTACGTACTTGTACTTGTGGTTTGTAGTTTGTTAGGAAAAAGAGAGAAAATGATTTTTGTCAGTATTGGGTAAGGTTGTGAACCTGGTTTCTAGTATATCGGTTGCAGTTGCTTAGGTTCACAATAGCAGAAGAACTCAGCCCTACAGCATACTTCTCCTACAATGTATCCTTGATTTCCCACACTTTCAGTATCCATGGTGGCCATGTATACAGGACAAGTGTTCAACTGCAGCTCCTGATTTGCCACATGGAGCAGCTGGAGCTGCGGATGGACTCACAATGGAGCATCCACAAAGTTGAAAATATCATGGATAGCATGTTTAGCAAGTTGGTCACATGGCAAGCAAGGGTTACACAGACAGAAAAACATTGGTGACCACCAGGAAGACTAGTAAGTGTGGGTAGGCAGCACAGCAGTCCCTTCTGACTATTCCCTCTCAAACAGAATCGATTTTAGATACTTTTGGAGGGGACGTCTCCTCAGGGGAAAGCCATGGCAGCAGCCGGATTAGTGGCACCACGACTGGCTCTGTTGTACTGCAGGGAGTATCGAAGTGTGGACAAGCAGTAGTGATAGGGGGCTGTCAGGGGCGTTTGTGGTCAGGTGAGAGAGTCCAAGATGGTGTGTTGCTTTTGTGGTGCCAGGATAAATGAGGTCTCTGAGCAGGCACAAGATATTCTGAAAGGGGAGGGTGAGCAGCCAGTGGTTGTGGTCCATATTGGTACTAACGACATAAGCAGAAAGAGAACTTTGGGAGTTGGGTGGGAAATTGAAAAGCAGGACCTTTAGGGTTGTAATCTTGGGATTATTCCTTGTGCTACAAGCTAGTGAGGCCAGAAATAGCTAGATAATACAGACAAATGCATGGCGAAAGAGCTGGTGTATGAGGGAGGGCTTCGAATATTGGATCACTGGGATCTCTTCAAGGACAGATGGGACCTTACAAGAAGGATGGGTTGGAACTAAATTGGAGGGCATCAATATCTTTGAGTGCCATTCAGGAGAGTTTAAACTAGTATGGCGGGGGATAGGAAACAGGCTATCAGTCAGCATTTGGAGTGATTGACAAGGTAGTGGTTAAGTCTAATAGGAAGAACAGGCAGGGCCAGGTTAATGAACACTGTGGAACTGTCAGTCTGATGTGTATTTAATTTAAAGCAATGAGTATAACAGGTAAAGCAATTGATACTTAGAGCTTGGATTAGTACATGAGACTATGATGTGGTAGCCACTGCAGAAACTTGGTTGAGAATTGGGCAGGTCTCGCAGCTCAATGTACTAGAGTTGAGATGTTTCAGGCAATTCAGACAGGGATATAAAAAAGGGTCAGGGAGTTGTATTACTGATCAAGGAGAATGTCCTCTTCCAGTACAGCTGGGACATAACGAAGGATTCATCCAAAGAGGTCATATGGGTAGAACTTAAGAATAAGATAGGCGCAATCACTATTATGGAGTTGTAATATAAGCCTTCCAATAACCAGGAGATAATTGAACAGATATATAAGCAGATCAGGGAAAGATGCAAAAAAAAAAAACAACAGGGTTGTTGTCATGGGTGATTTTAGATTCCCAACATTGACTGGGACTTGCTTACTGACAGGGGCTAAGATGGAGCAAAACCTGTTGTTAGGTGCCTCCAGGAAGGTTTCTTGAAGCAACATGTAGATAGTCCAACTAAGGAAGGGGCTGTACTTGACTTTGTATTGGAGAATGAACCTTACCAGGTGATCAAAGTTTCAGTGGGGGAGCATTTTGGGAACAGTGATCATAATTCAGTCAATTTTAAGATTGTTGTGGATAAGGATAACACTGGTCCTTGGGTGAAAGTACCAAAATTGAGAAAGGCTAATTACAACAGTATTAGGCAGGAATTGGAGAAATTAGATCGGAGGCGGCTATTTGAGAGTTAATCCACATCTGACATGTGCGGGTCTTTTAAAGACCATTTGATGAGAGTTCAGAATCAGCATGTTCCAGTGAGGATGAAATATAAGGATGGCAAGATTCAGGAACCCTAAATGACAAGGGATGTTGAAAGTTTAGTCCAAAAGGATAAAGAAAGCATAAGTAATCAGAGGATTAGATAAGGTGGACAGTGGGAGCCTTTTTCCTCGGATGGTGATGGCTGGCACGAGGGGACATAGCTTTAAATTGAGGGGTGATAGATATAGGACAGATGTCAGAGGTAGGTTCTTTACTCAGAGAGTAGTAAGGGCGTGGAATGCCCTGCCTGCAAAAATAGTAGACTCGCCCACTTTAAGGGCATTTAAATGGTCATTGGATAAACATATGGATGATAATGGAATAGTTTAGGTTAGATGGGCTTCAGATTGGTTTCACAGGTCGGCGCAACATCGAGGGCCGAAGGGCCTGTACTGCGCTGTAATGTTCTATGTTAGGTTTAAGAAACTGAAATCAAACAAGACCCTTGAGGGAGCAGAAAAGAACTTAAACAAGGAATTAGAACTAGAAGGGGCCATGAAATGGCCTTTACAAGTAGGAATAAGGAGACTCCAAAGGCATTTTATACATATACTACGAGAAAGAGGGTAACTGGGGAAAGGGTAGATTCACTCAAGGAGGAGAGAGGAAATTTGTGTAGAGTAAGAGAAAGTGGGTTACGTCCTTAATGAGTAATTGACATCAGTATTCACCGAGAAGTAAAAGGATGATGGGCAACATCAGGAAGGGCTATGTTGATGTGCTGGAGTATGTCGATGTTAAGTGGTAGTGTTGGGTGTCTTGAAAAACTCTGACGTAGATAATGTCCCCACGGCCTTACGGGATTTATCCCATGATACTGAGAGAAGCAAGGTAGGAAATTGCTGAGGTCTTTAGCCATAGGTGAGGTCCCAGATTAGCCAACGTTCTTCCTTTGTGAAGGACAACAGGGTTACTACATGGAATTATAGACCATTGAGCCTTACGTCAGTGGTAGGGAAATTATTGGAGAACAATTCTTAAGGACAGGATTTACTCGCATTTGAAAAAGAGTCGACTTATTAGGGATAGCATAGCTTTATGCAGGGAAGATCTTGTCTCTCAAACTTGATATGAGTTTTTTTGTTGAAGTGACAAAGTTGATTGATAAGAATGGGGTATTGAATTTTGTCTACATGGATGTTACTAAATGTATCAACAAGGTCCTTCATGGTAGGCTGGTCCAGAAGATTAAGTCACATGGGATCCATGGTAATATGGCAAATTGGATACAAAATTGGCTTGGTCATAGGAGACAGATAATAGTCATGTTTTGGCGGAGGGGTGGTGGTGTGGTAGGGGAGCTTTTTAATGAGTGGAGTTCTCTGACAGGTGGTGTTTCGCAAGGATCAGTGTTGGCACCTTGGTTGTTTGTAATATATGTAAATGACTTAGATGAATATGTAGACTGTCCAATGCAAATTGGAGTTGTGGATAATAAGGAAGTTTATCAAGGGATACAACAGGCTATAAATCAGTTGGAAAGCTGGTGAAGAAATGACAGATGGAGTTTTATCTGGACAAGCTGAGGTGATGTATTATGGAAGGTCAATGCAAGAGGAAACTATACAGTAAATAGCAGGACACCCAGGTGTATTGAAATGCAGAGGGATTTAGAGATCCAAGTCCATAGCTTCCTGAAAGTGATTTCCTGATCATGGTCACGTTGCTGTTTGTGGGATCTTGTCATGCATAATTCGGCTGTGTTTCCTCTATTACCAGAGACACTTCAAAACAGCCTCATTGGTTGAGCTTGAAATACCCTACAAAAATATTGAAAAGGTGTATAAAAGGCCAAGACATTTCCCCGCACCACCCCCACCCCTTACAAGGAGCAACATACATGTATTACAATCTGTGTTTTGATTTGGAGTCAGATTGGTTTTATTTCTAAAGTATGAATTTATAAAACACTACATTGACTGACTATCCATAAATTGTGTGCTTTTTAAACAAAATAGAATGTATCTGCAAACACAAATTCACCCCACAGATTCACACGTGTATGCGCGTGAGGGAGAGGAAGGTTGTATATACACACGTGCGTGTTGGGGGAGGAGGGTGGGAGTGTGGAGAGAGACTGTGATATTTGTCTTTTTAAATTTGCTTCTTGTTTTCCAGACCTATATGTGTATAGCTGAAAATGTAACTTTTTTCTTCATTCCTCTATTCTGTAACTAAGTAGTGTACCCTAGGTACCTTTGTATCTAAGTGGCGACTTCTAAAATCTTTTCACTGTACTCGTTTGAGTACATGTGATAATAAAGGTGATTCTAATTCTAAATAAGAAGGAATAAATATCATGAGAATATATGAAGGAACACATATCATAAGCAAAACAGATTTTGTTTAATGTGGTTCAACTCCCATACTGGCTGAGGTTATCATGAAGGGCTCTCCTTCTCAACCTCTCCCCTTGCCTGAGATGTGGTGACCTTCAGGTTAAACCATCACTAATGACCTCAGGAAAAGATAGCAAAAGAATAACATCCAGAAAAGGTGCGGGAATTTGCCAAAAGAAAACCAGTTGCAGCTGTACCAGCTTTGGGAAGAAGTTTTATTATGGAAATAATATTGAATCTTCATTAAGATTTGAGATCATAAGGATATTGCTGGGATAAACAGAATATCTTCAATTCAAAACTTTTTGCAGGTGCTTGCACTGAAATCTTTATAACCTTTTTTGTCTAATCTAATACAGTTCAATTTTTTTTTCGTTTAATAAACATGTTACATGGTCAAAGAACACTTGCAGACTCGTATAAATGTGTTCCGCAACTGACTTACATCGTTAAAAAGGTTACAGGTTACCAACCCTGGGATATGCACTTGTCAAGCATTAACATCAGCTTGGATCATAAGAGTCTGAAAAATTATGGACTAAGTGTGGGACGAAGCATGTGAATTATATCTATCAAAAGCATATTCACATCCTCATCTTTTTTTTTCCATATTCACTTTGAAGGCAAGAATAAAATAGTTCTAAACTCAGTAATTTGAGTAACTTAATTTCTCAGCAATTTAAGTCTGGATGCACCAAACTTGCTCACCTGAATTACCTTATGTTGTAACATGTTTCAAGATTAAATCTAACTTAAATGTGACAAAAAAATTATATGCCAAGATATCACATTTCCAGTTATAACAAGGAAAACTTTACCAAATGGTCATAAATCAACAATTCTTCTCTATGTCTCCAGTCTGACATCATATTCAAGTAGTTTAATATCATTTTCAATTGAAAAATTCACATTAAAAGTAAAGCTTCATCTCAGATCATAAACATCAACACAATACACATATGCTTGTGGTGCGGAAATGGTGACAGTGGCAGTGTTAAATTCAGAGTTCAAATCCACAATAGCAGCTGGTATAATTTAAAGTTAATAAATAAATGCGAAATTTAAAAAAAAAAAAAAAAAAAATCAGTAAAGATGGCCATCACACCCACCAACTATTAATCATAGATTGCTTCAAAGAAAATCTGTCACTCTTACTTTATCCAACCTCATGTAACCCCAGCCCCACATTAATGTGGCAGGCTCTTAACTACCCGAGCCAGCCACACAGTTCAGACAACAAAAGCTGGCTTTGCCAGCAATGCCCATACTCCAAAAAGGAATTTTTGAAAACTGCTCACATAAAAAATAATTAACTGGTACAAGAAAAGCCGGTCATCTGATTAATTATCCTTTACTATGTTTAGCTTTAAATAGGGTAGGCGATGGCCTGGTGGTAACATCACTAAACTATGAATCCAGAGACCTAGCTAGTGTCCTAGGGATCTGGATTTGAATCCTGCCATGGTAAATGGTAGAATTTGAATTCAATAATAATCTGGAAAGAAGTGCCTCATGGTGATGCTGATGCAGATTGTCAGGAAAAAACCCATCTGGTTCACTAATTACCTTTCGGTAAGGAAATCTACCATCCCTACCTAGAGACGAAGGCAACGTGGTTGATTCTTAACTGCCCTCTGGGCACTTAGGGATGTGTAATAAATGCTGGTCGAGCTAGAGATGCCCACAACCCACAAATGAACGTAAAAAACCTCTTTCACATCATGACAATGCATTCTTAACTCATATAATGCAAATTGTTACAAAGAACTCCTGATTTTTCTCCCCCATGCTCAATTTATTAAAATTATTTTGCAGTTTCCTAATTGACTTAATTATTTCCAGAACAAAAACTAAGCAACTCTATATGTAAAATCTAATTTAGCATGATCCGATCATTACATCCTTGATTTTTTTTGACTTTAGTAAAGTCATGCACTACAGACTTTGGCTACCTCACCAAGGAAGATCTTTTTTTAATTTTGTGTTTTGCACTAGTCATATCAGTCCTTTTGCTGTAAGTCATATTCATTTCCATTGTTGGGCATTTACCTGGACTTCTGCTCAAGGTTTTGAGAAGGATTAACTAAATCCATGTGTACCTGAAAAAAAAAACATTTTGTTCACATATCAACACAAAAAAAAAACTTAGCCCACTGTCAGTGCTCCAAAATAAAAATACAGATAGTGAAAATTTGAAATCAAAACAGAAATGTTGGAGACACTCAATGCAGAGAGAGAAAAGGAGAGCAAGCAGAGGAATACATAGAAACAACAAGGTGCAGGGCTGGATGAACATAGCAGGCCAAGCAGCATCATAGGAGCAGAAAGGCTGACGTTTCAGGCCGAGACCCTTCATCAGAAAAAGGGGGAGGGGAAGGGAGTTCTGAAATAAATAGGGAGAGAGTGGGAGGCGGATAGAAGATGGATGGAGGAGAGGATAGGTGGAGAGGAAACAAACAGGTCGAAGAGGCTGGGATGGAGCCAGTAAAGGCGAGTGTAGGTAGGGAGTTAGGGAGGGGATAGGTCAGTCCAGGGAGCAGGATGAGGTCAGTCGGTAGGAAGAACGGGTTAGGGAGGCGGGGACGAGCTGGACTGGTTTTGGGATGCAGTAGGGGGAGGGGAGATTTTGAAGCTTGTGAAATCCACATTGATACCATTGGGCTGCAGGGGTCCCAAGCGGAATATGAGTTGCTGTTCCTGCAACCTTCGGGTGGCATCGTTGTGGCACTGCAGGAGGCCCAGGATGGACATGTCGTCTGAGGAATGGGAGGGGGGAGTTGAAATGGTTCGCGACTGGGAGGTGCAGTTGTTTATTGCGAACCGAGCGTAGGTGTTCTGCAAAGCGGTCCCCAAGCCTCCGCTTGGTTTCCCCAATGTACTACAGGAAGCCACACCGGGTACAGCGGATGCAGTATACCACATTGGCAGATGTGCAGGTGAACATCTGCTTGATGTGGAAAGTCTTCTTGGGGCCTGGGATGGGGGTGAGGGAGGAGGTATGGGGGCAGGTGTAGCACTTCCTGCGGTTGCAGGGAAAAGTGCCGGGTGTGGTGGGGCTGGAGGGGAGTGTGGAGCGGACAAGGGAGTCACGGAGAGAGTGGTCCCTCCGGAAAGCAGATAAGAGTGGGGAGGGAAAGATGTCTTTGGTGGTGGGGTCGGATTGCAGATAGCGGAAGTGTCAGAGGATGACGCGTTGGATCCGGAGGTTGGTGGGGTGGTACGTGAGGACGAGGGGGATTCTTTTTTGGTTCTTATTGTGTGGACGGGGTGTGAGGGATGAGTTGCGGGAGATGTGGGAGACACGGTTGAGGGCGTTCTCGACCACTTGGGGGGGGGGGGGGGGAGTTGCGGTCCTTGAAAAACGAGGACAACTGAGATGTACGGGAGTGGAATGCCTCGTCCTGGGAGCAGATGCAGCGGAGGCAAAGGAATTGGGAATAGGGGATAGCATTTTTGCAGGAAAGTGGGTGGGAGGAGGAGTATTCTAGGTAGCTGTGGGAGTTGGTGGGCTTGAAATGAATACCGGTTTCTAGGTGGTTGACGGATATGGAGACAGAGAGGTCCAGGAAGGGGAGAGAGGTATTGGAGATGGTCCAGGTGAACTTAAGGTTGGGATGGAAGGTGTTGGTGAAGTGGATGAACTGTTCGAGCTCCTCGTGGGAGCACGAGGCGGCGCCGATACAGTCATCAATATAATGGAGGAAGAGGTGCGGTTTAGGGCCGGTGTAGGTACGGAAGAGGGATTGTTCCACGTAACCTACAAAGAGGCAGGCGTAACTTGGGCCCATGCGGGTACCCATGGCCACCCCCTTTGTCTGTAGGAAGTGGGAGGAATTGAAAGAGAAGTTGTTGAGGGTGAGGACAAGTTCAGCTAAGCAGATGAGGGTGTCAGTGGAGGGGGACCAGTCGGGCCTGCGGGACAGGAAGAAGCGGAGGGCCTTTAGGCCATCTGCATGGGGAATGCAGGTGTAGAGGGACTGGACGTCCATGGTAAAGATGAGGTGCTGGGGACCGGGGAATGGGAAGTTCTGGAGGAGGTGGAGGGCGTGGGTGGTGTCACGGACATAGGTAGGGAGTTCCTGGAACAAGGGGGAGAAAATGGAGTCCAGATAGTTGGAGATCAGTTCGGTGGGGCAGGAGCAGGCGGAGACAATGGATCGACCAGGGCATTCAGGTTTGTGGATTTTGGGAAGGAGATAGAAGCAGGCAGTGCGGGGTTGGGGAACGATGAGGTTGGCCCTCAACCGTGTCTCCCACATCTCCCGCAACTCATCCCTCACACCCCGTCCACGCAATAAGAACCAAAAAAGAATCCCCCTCGTCCTCACGTACCACCCCACCAACCTCCGGATCCAACGCATCATCCTCTGACACTTCCGCCATCTGCAATCCGACCCCACCACCAAAGACATCGTTCCCTCCCCACTCTTATCTGCTTTCCAGAGGGACCACTCTCCCTGTGACTCCCTTGTCCACTCCACACTCCCCTCCAGCCCCACCACACCCGGCACTTTTCCCTGCAACCGCAGGAAGTGCTACACCTGCCCCCATACCTCCTCCCTCACCCCCATCCCAGGCCCCAAGAAGACTTTCCACATCAAGCAGATGTTCACCTGCACATCTGCCAATGTGGTATACTGCATCCGCTGTGGCTTCCTCTACATTGGGGAAACCAAGCGGAGGCTTGGGGACCGCTTTGCAGAACACCTACGCTCGGTTCGCAATAAACAACTGCACCTCCCAGTCGCGAACCATTTCAACTCCCCCTCCCATTCCTCAGACGACATGTCCATCCTGGGCCTCCTGCAGTGCCACAACGATGCCATCCGAAGGTTGCAGGAACAGCAACTCATTTTCCGCTTGGGAACCCTGCAGCCCAATGGTATCAATGTGGATTTCACAAGCTTCAAAATCTCCTCTCCCCCTACCGCATCCCAAAACCAGTCCAGCTCGTCCCCGCC